TTTGATTATATTTGATATTCGTTTTCACCATAATGTCAAAATGTAAGAGAAGAAAATTTAATGTGCAGTGGAAGTTTGATTATTTCTACTTCTGTGAAAAATAAAATAATGTGCTTATTATTGTGCAATACAATATGTGTGTGTGTTTATTTACACCCGCTTTTTTCAAAGTAGTCTTTTGACTACTTTGAAAAAGCGGATGCAAATAAACACTGTTTTACTTATGAAGAACATAAATATTTCAATATAGAAGGTGACAAGCTGCAGTTCAAAAATTGAAAAATGAAAAGCATCATCAATAAACATCTTTTAATGCTTTTGTAAAGAAAAATATCACTGCAGTCACTGTTACAAAATAGCACAGAAACTTGGAGAATGAGGCAGACCATTTAGTGATGTAGAAATAATTAAAGAATGTATTTTTGAAGCAGTAGGCGTGTTAGATCCAGAAAAAGTTGATAAATACAAACAATTCCCTCTTTCAAGAAAAACGATATCAGATCAACAACATGAATTAGTTGGAAATGTAACAGAGCCACTTTGTACAATTATCAGAAATGAAGATGTTTTATTCAGTTGCTAGATAAAAGTACTGATAAAACGTACTCGGAACAAGTTTTATATTTTATAAACATGCCATAGTTAAAGATATTCAATGTTATGAAGAACTTCTTGCATTGGGTAAACTAACTGGAAGAACTTGCAGAGTTGACATTCTCGAAAACACCAAAGAAATATCCCGTCGGTTACAATTAAATGTCAATAATTAAGTCAGTGTCCGGACTGATGGCACACCTTCCATGAAAGGTAAAAAATAAGGATTCATTGCTTTATTTAAAAAAATCTGATGTGTACACCACATGACTTCCTTGTATGGAATATTAAATTATACACATTTTTCTTGCATTTCATTTAAACTTATTGGATTGAATTAAATCTATTTCGCCAACAGCACATAAACCACAATAGAATAAATGCATTCTTTAAAATTCACTTTGTTTACCATAGCGACACTCTGGCGCTAGATTTACTTAACAGTATTATATTTCGTTCATATTATAACTCATAATGCACAAAATTTATATCATTTAAAGAACAGAATTATCTAATCGTGCCACATGTTCTATTCAAATACTATAATAAAGCTAGAATGATGTATAAAAGAAATTAAGGAAACAAAACGAAAAAGAAACAGTTTTTCACAGACGACTGAGTATTTCTCATTCAATTAATTCAGTTCTCACTTCACGACAAGGCAAAAATACATAAAAGCTCAAAATATCTATATTAAAAATTACGAAGTAAATCTTAAACACTTATTTCCTCGAAAAAAATCCAGAAAGGATTAAGCATGCTTTAATTCGCAACAATAAATGAAGGCGTTATCTTTGTTGTTGTGAAGATAAGTTTCTCTAGATTGGCAACAAATCCACTAGTCTGCTGTTTCAAATGTAAGCAATCAATGGCCGGCATTAAAAAAAAGGCTTAGTGGTACTTAAACGACTTTAAAACTGTTGATAATTCTAAAAATATTACATACAGATTTACTAGAGGCATAGAAACCTTAACCGGAAGATAAAAACAACATAATTCAATCATTTTTAAAGCAAAAAATGTACAATTTACAAACGAGTATAGAAACTGAGATCACTGAACCGGGTAACAGAGTGGATATATATATATATATAAATATATTTATATACGTTTGGTGCGGCCGACTGCAACCAAAATACGAGGTGCACATCTACATGTTATAGCAGTCCTATATACAAAATTTCAATGTTCTGAGGCTACTCCGTTTTGAGTTATGCGAGATACGTATGTACATACGTTCGTACAGACGCCACGAAAAATTCTCTTCAGAATTAATTTTAAAGCAGTTTTATAATTTTTTTGGAGGAAAAGAGTGTTTTATTCTTTCCTTACGTACAGATATCATGCAAAAACATTGTTAAATTGCATTCGATAGCTGTCAAAATGGATATTTTCATTGAAATATGCTGCCTGAAACTTTTCACAATTACAATACTTCCTTTTTACTTCGTGCATGGAAGTAAAAAGGAAACCTTGAAAAAATTTATAATATTTCACTGCATTTTGCATTAGCAAAATCTTTGCACAAAAATAACCATTTTGCAAGACACTCTGTATAGAACTATTTCGATTGTCATCTATATACATAAATGCAATGCATCATTGGGAATTTTAAACTTTTATCAAGAACAAGGAAAACTATATGATTTAATCATATGAAGCATTTTGAAGAAACATTGCATTTTTTTCTGGTATTGCGACAAAACAATTTAAATATTTGCCTGCAAGGTAAAACAAAGCATATATATGAAATGTGGCAAAAGATCCAAGCGTTTTGAAAAAAAAATTTGGCATTTTTCTAAACACTGCTCTCTTATCACTTCCCAGAGCTAGCGAAAATGTCGAATCAGCAAAATGTAAAAATAAAACATTTAATGAATATCTAGGTGTCATTGGATTATTTAATAGAAGAATTTACTAATAGATTACTTAATAGAAGGATTTAATAGAAGAATATACTGAAAGATTTTTAGATTTTGACGAGCACACTTCTGCTGTTAAACTGGCATTTGAATTGCATTTAGTAGATATATTTAGTAGCTCCCACAGGTTTCGTACGGTCCTTAAGAGTCCTTAAAAGTCCTTAAGTTTTTTGGAATCGATTTTTGGTCCTTAAAAGTTCTTAATTTTGGCCGAAATTGGCAGAAGGTCCTTAATTTTAATCAGTGAAATTTCTGTCTGTTTTTACGACTGCCATTTTGAGTGTGAATTAGCAGTTTGGAGGTATATTTTTGGCGATTCATTGATAAATATGGTTATTTGAATGGGTTATGATTTGTTCCTATTTCTAATGTAAATGGATATATGTAAATAATAATACAGTTGAGTTTCTGAGCAAGAAGTGAAACAAGTATTTCGAAATTATTTCACTTTTTCTAATGAAGAGCTTTTCAACAATTTTTCGCTTTTGGGGATGTGAATTCTTTTATTGAACGGATCTAAGTTTGGTGACTTGTCAACATTTTGGAGATTTTTAAGATCAATTTCTATAGAAAATTTTAAATTCCATTTTTGCATTACTCCTGCCGACATTTGAATTTGTTATGACAGTAGAGTTACTGAGCCAGCTTAAAATTAAATTAAATTGTATAGTCTTTGACCAATAGTCCACATTTTTTTGTTTGACTTTTATTGTTCTTGTTTAATTACATTACCCCAAACTTTAATTGATTTGGTTAGCATGAAAACACACCTTTAAGTTCGGTTTAAATAAGAGGCTTATTTAAACCTTTGTCTGACTTTGTAGTTACTTTGAGACATAGCGATAATTTGCTTCTTGTCTGTTGGGAGTTCTTGAACTATTTAACTTTTACCAGATCAAGTAAGCCCTCATAGGTACATTGTTTAGAGGTTTACAATTTAGGAGATAAAGTACGCAGAAACTAATGAAAACATTGGTTTGCATATTGAGAGAAATTTCTAATTCTTAGTAAAGATGCTTAAAGAGAAGGAAATCGTTATAAATTTTTATTAGCTCCAAATTATCACTACTTAAGAGCTGATCTTGCATCCTGAAACATTGATAGAAATGACAGTTATCTTGAACACTTGTTATTCAGTGAAGAAGAATTATCTCTACCAAAGAAAGGTGCAAATCTGGACTTTTTGAAAAAGTGTATGCACTCGGAATAATTGCTGTACAATATTTTTAGTGCTGACAAGCATTTGGCAAGAGTGTAATTATTTTGACATCTGTCAAGCTGCAAAAGGTATCCACATTAAACTTGACTACCCTTCATAAAACTTTAGTGAGTTACTTTCTGTAATAATTTTTACAAATTAATATATATATATGTTACCATGAAAGACCGAAATTGGAGAATGTCGACTTTCACCGGAGAATGTCAACATTTACCAAATACGTCGGTGAAAGATTGAATATTTCTTTACATTCTTGTACATTCGGACCCTCACCGATGTATGTCGACAATCACAGATATGCTCTGGTGTAGGTCGAAAAGAGAGGAGTATATGTACACGCTGAAATTCCAAAAGGAAGTGTTCCACAAATAAATGCAGTTGTAAAAGCAAGGGCCTCTTGTGGAATTCAAAGTGTCATAATAGTTTAAGTTGTGCAATAAATGCGATTTGAATCACATAATTTGGTAAGTTTATAACTTCTATTATTTTCCTTTCTCATTTTGAATGTACTGTGTGTTTTAAGTTCTTATTCTGAGTCTCAAGTGCATTTCTTCGCAAATGAATTACGGAGAAGGAAATATAATATTCTTATATGTTCAACTGTCACCATTAGTACACGGTGAATGTCGACATTTACCGGTGTAGGTCAGAGATAAGAGTATTTGGAAAATATTTTGGCCATACACCAAGCGACTATGGGAATGTTGACATTCACAGGTGAAAGTCAACATTCTCGAGATTTCGGTCTTTCACAATAACATATATATTAATTATATTAATAATTAAATAATTAACCCAAAGTACATATATATATATGTGTGTGTGTGTGTGTGCTTTGGGGGGAGGGAGTACCTGTAGCCTAGGCAACCACTGTATTTTACTCTGAATCCTTAGTTAAGAAAAGAAAATGAAGGTCATTTTGGTTATTTTAGGTATCTTTCTAAACTTGAGTTGTCAGAGCTCATTCGACTGATGGCATTTAAAGTAAAAGTGTTCACTTTTAGTTTGTCATATAAAATTCATTCTCATGCTAGTCATAAAAATGGAAAATATGAAATTTTAAGATAGCAAAATGGTCCTTATTCCCATTATTCCCATTTCTATATTATGAGTACATAAATTCCTAATAAACATGAATTCTTGTAATATGTTTGAATAAAAAAAAATTCTGTCCAAAAAAAAATGTCATCTAGGCAAAATTTGGAAGAAATTATTAGTAGACTTAACTTTTAACACTTATGGTAGCTTTTGCTTTTTATCTTTAGGTTGTTGGCAGCATGGATGCTCATCCCAGTCGTTATGCTGCTGCAGTTCGAGTTCAGGGTAGCCGTCAAGAAAGTATACAAGATTTGTCAACAATGGTTAAAGAACTTCTCATTCAGTTTTATCGTGCAACACGTTTTAAACCATTAAGAATAATTATGTACCGTGATCATGTTTCGGAAGGCCAACTTCTTCCAGTAAGTTTGAGTTAAAATAATTTAAAACTTTTTTTTAGTAACTTTGTTTAATAGAGTATTAATTGTTAAAAATAAAACAGTAGTACTAACATCAGCATCTTAAGATTTATTTGAAAATTAACATTATAAGCCTATTTTAAATTTTTAATAGGTTTTAAGTCAAGAGCTTCTTGCTATACGAGAAGCTTGTCTGAAGTTAGAATCTGACTACAAACCTGGGATAACATATATTGTGGTTGAGAGGAGACATCATACCAGATTATTTTGTGCTGACAAAAAATATCAAATTGGTAAAAGTGGAAATGTTCCAGCTGGAACAACTGTAGATTCTTTTATCACTCACCCATCTGAAAATGACTTTTATCTGTGTAGTCATGCTGGTATTCAAGTAAGTGAAAAATTTTGATAACTTTGAATCAGATTTCCTTTATATAGTGTATCAATTAAGAACTAAATCCAGAAGCTTATCATCTGTACCATTTATTGAAAAGTTGGCTTATTTGAAATCATCTAGGACATTTTAAAGATATCCTTTTAAAGTACTAAGTTTTATTTTAAAAGTGTAAAAACTGAAAAGCTAAGTATTGATTATAATTTGAACAATTAAGCTTTTAGAAGTTTTAAATTTAAAATTAATGTTTATTAGAGAAAAATTAGTAAGGAACAAAAATTAAGCAATGAAAAGTAGTTCGTTAAATGAATCATAGGAATCTAGAACTTATTTTTTTAAATTCTTATATAAAAAATAATAAAATATAAATGTATTTTTATTAGTGTACACTGTACCAAAACCATGTGTCATATTTGCAAATGCATATTTACTTGTCTGAATTATGAGGTGGAGTTATGTTCAATTCTTGTTATTGTAATAAATTAACTGAATGCACTCTTGCTGCTAAACATAAATGCATTCTTGTCATTTACATTCTCTTTTGAATACCTTCAATGATTTTTATCAAAAAATAAATAATAATAATAATAAAAAAACACTTTTTGCAACTTTTTTTTATTGTACTTTAGAGTGATCAGTTTTGCTTTATTTGTGCTTTTTTAAAGTTTTAATGGAGTTTTAAATCATGTTGTACTTCAACCTCATGTGCCTTAAGAATAACCTTTAGGTGATTCAAAAGTCTTTTCAAAGCTAACAGCCACAGTAAAAAAAGTCACTTAAAATAATTTCCTGTTTAGTAAATTTGATTTTCCATTGGAAAATTGTTATTTGGTATTGTTTTTTAAAGAAATTTTTGTGTAAAATCTCTTTTTGAATTTTAAAAGCTAGAACAACTCGAACTCTTCCTTCCCCCCCTCAGTTATTTAAGGACTAGAGCAGTAAGGCATTGTTAGTTTATTCTTTGCTATTAAGTGGGCTAACTTTATGTGGTTGTCAGTATTTTCCTCTTGAGCTTAATAAATTAAATAATTAACCCAAAGTACATATATATATATATATGTGTGTGTGCTTTGGGGGGGAGTACCTGTAGCCTAGGCAAGCACTGTATTTTACTCTGAATCCTTAGTTAAGAAAAGAAAATGAAGGTCAGTTTGGTTATTTTAGGTATCTTTCTAAACTTGAGTTGTCAGAGCTCATTCGACTGATGGCATTTAAAGTAAAAGTGTTCACTTTTAGTTTGTCATATAAAATTCATTCTCATGCTAGTCATAAAAATGGAAAATATATGAAAATATGAAATTTTAAGATAGCAAAATGGTCCTTATTCCCATTATTCTGTTTCAAGTCTGTTTCATTTAACCCGTTAATGCCCAAATTATTTTAAAATGAGAATTTTTGAAAAATATTTTTAAATTACATTTCATATATCATAAAATAAGTATTTATGAAGTTTTATTCAATTACCATAATTAGCTGTTCAGATAAGAGGTGATCTATAAATACATTGCTGAGCACTTCCGTTAATAAAAAAACAAGTAACTGCTCTATGATCTTATGTTTAAAACATTATGAATTTAGTTAACAAAATATGAATTTTTTAGAAAATTGAAACCAACTAAAGATATTTAAAAGGAAAAAATATTATTTTACTGATCTACATTTCCTTAGTTATATTTTAATTGAGCAAATTTGCAATATTTAAGTGTGGTATAGTGGAAAACATTTTGCACAAAGTGTTACATCGCATTTTGTACAAAGCGTAATAGGACTTCTCTTACATTTTTTATATTGGCATCTTCTTTGATTTTGTCTTTCACCTATAACATGATGTTTTCTATCTAAACACACAGAGCCTATCACTTTAGTCCCAATGGCATCACCAAATGTCTTCCAATGCTTTCCTTCAAATTTTTGCGATATGTCTTCAGATGTCTTTTATGCTTTTTTTCACCACTCGTGTTCCAAGCAGGTCATTTGAAGTTTCAGGAGTATTGTCAAAACTCTCTGCACCAAAATATAAGTCAAAATTATAACAGTAGCCCTTTGCTCCACATATGGTCCATGAATTATAGCAAAACTGTATAAGTTTGCCTCTAAGAATAGTTTGAAAAAAGGATGACCGTAATATCTAATCATCATTTCATCAACATACAGAATTTTTGAAAACTGTGATTTATATGCATGATTATTATTTTTTTTATTATTATTATTATTTTGAATGCCCAGTCTGATGTTTGCATTGCTGCATAATTATCGTTGGCAAAATGGATTACAGATTTAATTTCTAAATATTTATTTAGAAACATTGCATTTTTTACTATCGGTACCATGAGATATTCCTCTGACCAGTAACCATGTTCATTACGCAAAGTATGGTAACCAGAGAAAATCAAAAAAACTAATAAAATTCTTCAAATCATCAATTATAACTGTAAACTCTGGTTTATTTTTCCACACTTCCGTATATCTTTCTGTTTCATTTATTACACATTAGTAAAATTCGGGAGCTAAAAACTTTTCAAAAATTTCAAATGGGCTCTTATTTTCTAAAATATTTGAAATACTCTCAAAATTTTCACCAGACAAATTACCTTCTTTTTTAAAAGCATACATAGGGTTATTTTTTGTCCAATTTGGTTTTGGCTGCACTTTTTTGATAATTTCAAACTAACTCTTTTTTATTTTCATTTCTAGCGCTAGATGTAGATTTCAGTTGCTCCATAAAGTTAGGTCCAAAATCATTTATGTTTTTACCAATGGAGTGATCATTTCACCATCCTGAAAGCACTCTTCATTCATTAACTTGTCCACCTCAGGTGGTACAACAATTATATCTGACTCAGTCTCCTTAGAAAACATATATTCTAATGTTTCTTCGATGTTGTGAAAATCTTTACGCCTGGACATTTTGGAAAAAATGAAAAGGGGAAAAAAAGTATTAGTTACCACTAATGCCCAGCAATCTATTTATAGATCAGCATGTTTAAGCTGAAAATTTAATTATAAGAAATGTTATGTTTCTAATCTGAATAACGTAGAACAATTAAAGAGGTATTGAAAATGTAGAACACGTAAGAAAAATATAACTTCTAATTTTTTTCCCGTTCAATACAAAATCGAAATCAGCACTATGAAGCATCACTTGGCTAACTTCAGATGTTATCTGCTGGACTGTTTTGGAAAAGAATGTTTAAAAACACCTTTGGTGTTATGGCCACGTGTGTAAGGAAATCAGCCAGTGACAAAAAGAAGTACTGTAATTTCGCGCGTATAGTCCGCGGACTATCTGTGTTTAAAATGCGAATTTTTGAAGCTGCGGACTATCCACCAGTGCGGATAATACGCTGGTTGTTCACGGTTAAAATCGTTGAAATTTAAAAAACACGCTGTCGTGAACTGCCGATGATCAAATATAAAAAAAGCGCGAAATTCCAAGGAAAAACGGTCGCCATGTATCGTATCGATAGTAAACCATAGAGCATAGTGCAGAACGAATGAGTAGTAGCAAGTAGAGCTCCTAAAATCCAGGCTCGGCGCATCAAGCGATGCCGGGGATATGAGCCAAAGAAAGTTGTGTGAGCACTCACTTAGCGCAACCAGAGTCTTGTATCCCAGTATCCTTCGCACTGCTTTAGCGCAACTGCCGCCAGGAGGGGGAAAAAGTAGTTGATGCGTCAGCTCGGTTTTTAGGAGCCTTAGTAGCAAGTACCTGGAGTAGGAAGAAAAACCGTGATTTGTTTACCTATAGCGTGATTCGGCTTAAGGGTGGTTTGGCACCGAGTGAGTGGAGGTCGAAGGTCACATTTCATTACCACTTATCACGAGTATAAGCACGTTGCACAGTATTTTGTTTTCGTATTTTGTCTTTCATCTTCGATAACGTTGAATGAAACATCGCCGGAGTTTTACTGCTGAGTTTAAACTCAAGGTAGTTGAGAAAGCTGAGATAAGATGGAAATAGAGAAGTGGGCCGTTATTGGTTTAATATTAGTATTCGGTTGCACACGGGATTTGGCTACTTTTGGCGACTTTATGATGAGCAGTGAAAACGGGACATATACGATGAGTAGTTAACGGGTCATTCAAAGAAAATATATATAGTTAAACATAGTATATACTATGTATATAGTATATATAACTATGTGTGTATACTATATATATAGGCGTTTCTTTGGATCATGTTTGGTGTTGGCGATAATTTTCAAAGTCGCACCAAGGCTGCACCGTGGTACTAGGATTTTACCCCGTTATTTTGAAGTGGACGAGAAAGCGGTGAGAAATTGGCGCAAACAAAAGGATGTGTTTAAAAGGCATGGGAATATTGCCGTATTAAAAAAACGTAATTTCGGACGTATAGTCCGCGGAGTATCCGGTGGTGCGGACTATCTGACGATTTTTGAAATTTTTTTTATATAAAATCGTGTCTGCGGACTATACGTGCGAAATTACGGTAATTAAAAGATATTGTTCTTAATGGTCATTCTAAAAGTAAATGATCTATAAATAGATTGCTGGGCAGTAACGGGTTAATAGAGTCTTCCATGAACACATACATCCTTACAAAGAGACTTGAGTGAGCTTAACCATAATTAAATATTCAGTCCTTTGAGAATGAAATCTAAGGAAAGGAATTGATTTTGTTAATGAAGATGAATAATTAAAAATCTTTTTTTTGGGGGGGGGGTAGAGAAAATAAAACATGATGATTTAGGTTTGTCTAGCTATTGTAATTATAGCTTAGATTAAGAGGAGCAATATTCAAATAAGCAGCTAGCTTCTATGTTCGTAAGATATTTGGTATTGCTGTTTTGAGAGCTTATAAGTTTAATTTGCTCTTTGAAACTAAATGAATACAATTTCCAAAAAGGAGAAAAGTTAGCAAAAATAATTCAAATTATACTATTAAATAAAGAGTTTTTTCATTAAATAAAGTGTAATTTATTTCCAAATTTAAAGCATTTAATTAGTCCATAATTATAAAAAACATAATGTCTATTATGACATGTATTCATCTGTTGTCTAATCAGTCCAGATAAACATGTTCATCTGAAAATCTTTAGTGTGCCTCAAAAGTTTTGTACTCCAAATTTAGACATTTTCAGGAAAAATTTTAATTGTTAATAAAGAAAAATTAATATTTTCCCCCAAAATGTGTTTTAAGTAAATTTATGCCATATACTGAATCAATGTTTATCTCTTAAACTTGTTTTCTGCATAAGTTTGTTTTATATTATGATCTCTTGTATGAGTGTTGTAATCTACTTATATTTATATGTTTATGTATATCCATAAGTTTTCATTCCACATTCTTTATTTATTTGCATAACATGACGTTATAATGTAAATCAAATCAAAAAAAATTCTGGATGAAATTTTTACAGTCTCTAGAACATTTAAAACACCCAAATTTTGCATACATCAATGTTTTATTTAGTCTGACAGTGATATTATTTATCTCTTTGTACCATATATTTCTCCTATACATGCAAAGCATCAAAATTAGAGAAGCAATCAGAGAATATAAGCATCAACTTCTGTCACATCTTTCTTATTGTTTTCAAACCAGTTGACCTAAATATTATCTACTGTTGAATTAATGTTAATGAGTGTGTTAAGATCCTGTATATATTGTACTAATTAAATTGCTTTAGAAATTAATCCATTTTTGTGGGAATATTATAACTGTTTGCTTTTTAATGTTAGTTTTAAATTTATATTAATTTAAAATTGTTCATAAATTTCCATTTTTGCATTATTTTGTTGGAAAATTATAACTGTTTGCTTTTTAATGTTAATTTTTTAAATTTATATTAATTTAAAATTCTATTTATATATATAGAGAGAGTTTTTTTTTTTTTTTTTTTTTTTTTTTTTTTTTCCAGGGAACAAGTAGGCCAGCTCATTATCATGTACTCTGGGATGATAATCAGTTTAAATCTGATGAACTACAGTCTCTAACATATCAATTATGTCACACATATGCTCGCTGTACTAGATCTGTTTCTATTCCTGCACCTGTATATTATGCACATTTGGTAGCTTTTCGTGCTCGCTATCATATGACAGAGAAGGAACATGATAGGTAAGCTCAATTCTCATGTAATATAAATCTGTATTATTTAATCTTTTGTCTTTTTAACTTGGTTTTACAAAAAAAGGGAAAATTACATATTTCAAAATTTAGGCAATATTACATAGTATTAAAACATTTATGGTAAAATCTTATAATAGATTCATAGTTATTTAATGAAATCCTTTATCAGCACCAGGTATCTAAATGTCTCGTATTTAATGTGTTCATAATTAAAGAAAAAACATAGTAGGTTGAAACATTGATTTGTGATTTTAATGCTAAGTAATAAAAAAAATTAAGTCTTTCCATGATTATTTTCCTTGTGTTTTCTTTTTTACTTCCTTGTACGAAGTAAAAAGGAAGTATTGTAATCGCGAAAAGTTTCAGGCAGCATATTTCAACGAAAATATCAAATTTTGACCTCTTTCAAATGCAATTTAACGATGTATTTCCACGATATCTGTATGTAAGACAAAATAACTGCTTTAAAATGAATTCTGAAGAGAATTTTTCGTGGCGTCTCTACGAACGTATCTACGTACGTATCTCGCATAACTAAAAAACGAGTAGCCTCAGAATGTTAAAATTTTGTATATAGGACTGCTATAACATGTAGATGTGCACCTCAAATTTTGGTTGCAATCGGCCGCACCAAACGTATATAAATATATTCATATATATATCCACTCTGTTACCCGGCTCAGTGATCTCAGTTTCTTTACTCTTATATGTTTGTAAGTTGTACATTTTTTTCTTTAAAAATGATTGAATTATGTTGTTCTTATTTTCCGGTTAAGATTTTTATGCCTTTAGTAAATCTGTATGCAATATTTTTAGAATTATCAACAATTTTAAAATTGTTTAAGTTCCGCTAAGCCTAATAATGTTTTTGATGGCGGCCATTGCTCGTTTGCATTTGAAACAGCAGGATAGCGGATTTGTTGCCAATCTAGAGAAACTTAGCTTCGCAACAACAAAGATAACGCCTTCATTTATTATTTAAATCATGCTTAATCCTTTCTGGAATTTTTTCGAGGAAATAAGCGTTTGAGATTTACTTCGTAATTTTTAATATAGATATTTTGAGTTGTTATGTATTTTTGACGTCTCGCGAAGTGAGAACTGAATTAATTGAATGAGAAATACTCAATCATCTATGAAAAACTGATTCTTTTTTGTTTTGTTTGCTTAATTTCTTTTATACATAGAGAGAGGAGAGTTTACCATAGCGCCATACCATACATCACTTTGTTTACCATAGCACCATACCATACCATCACTTTGTTTACCATAGCGCCAGAGTGTCGCTATGGTAAACAAAGTGAATTTTAAAGAATGCATTTATTCTATTGTGGTTTATGCGCTGTCGGTGAAGTAGGTTTAATTCAGTCGAATAAGTTTAAATGAAATGCAAGAAAAAATGCGTATAATTTAATATTCCATACAAGGAAGTCATGTGGTGTACACATCAGATTTTTTTAAATAAAGCAATGAATCCTTATTTTTTACCTTTCATGGAAGGTGCGCCATCAGTCCGGACACTGACTTAATTATTGACATTTAATTGTAACCGACGGGATATATAACGGGATAAGGAAGTCATGTGGTGTACACATCAGATTTTTATTTTAGTTGTAATTCTCACTGACAGTTAAATACTGGCAGGGATATATTATGCTCTTGAATTTTGTTGAAAATGAAATTCTATGTGATAAATTATCTTCAGAATATATTTTAGTTGTCATTCTATTCTTTACTAATAGTATTTATTTTAGGCTGACTATCTCTTCATTATTTAATATTCTTAGTTATTTTTTTATATTATTAACCTTTTTTGCAAGTTCTTAATCAGGTCTGCATGCATTTGCTTAAAAACATATCAGATGTTTCTGTACAAAGCTTGAAAATAGATTTAATATTCACACATATGTGTGAAAAAATTTTTAATGTTGTTCATGAGTAAATGTTATTCATACATTTTAGAGAGAACTCTTTGACTGACATTTCTAGTTGTAGAACATCTGTCATGTTTTTCGAAGCAGTTCTGTAGAAATCTTAACCTTAGTTTTCTAGAGTTTTGCAAGTTTAAATATGTGAAACTTTTAGAACTTTTTCGCCGCTGGCAATAAAGTTAGTGTACATGTAAATGACGAGTTTTTTTTTCCTTTGTCTCCTTTAATGATGACCTATATGGAAAACAAAAAGGGATTCTTCTATATAAGAATATTTGAAGAAATACAATAAATCTATCAAGTATCTAAGATAGTGAGATATCTAAAATAGTGATACATGGTCCCAAATAATTTTGGGCTTTGTGGAAGAATAAAGAGATGATATTCATTAGCAGTGTTTAAGGATTCGTGTAATAAAATTAGCTTTTGATGTTGAATATTGAGAATTTGATAAGGAATTCTTTGTAGATCTTGTTCATTACATTGTAAATTTATTTTTAATAGTATTCAGAGCTGTGATGGTTATCTGAATGCATAAAACAAATCCTGTCACTCTTATTACACACGCAATATTGTTCCCATTTAAAATATTATTCCTTAATAGTATTATAGTATTCCTTAATTATTAATATTATGTTGTTATTCATTACTATAATGAATTATAATAATGAATAATATAATATTAGTTTTTAATGAAGATAAGGTTTTTTTATTGTGTAACAGAAAAAAATGCTATGTACTATTTCTCATTGATAAGCCATTGAATGTTCTCGCACAAGTATATATTTTGTAAAATTTGTTAAGACATTTCTTTAACAGCTTTTTTCTCCCTTACCCCCAATTAAGCACTTAAATTATAATATGTTTGATATCTGGAGATTCTCTCTAGTTGTATTTTACATTCTATTTTATGTTTAAGCAAAAAAGTTTTTCTTCTATATAAGAATATTTGAAGAAATACAATAAATCTATCAAGTATCCAAGATAGTGAGATATCTAAAATAGTGATACATGGTCCCAAATAATTTTGGGCTTTGTGGAAGAATAAAGAGATGATATTCATTAGCAGTGTTTAATTATGTTTCCAAAAATACTCATCACTTTCAGAATTTTGAAAGTTTTTAAGCACTAAGACATTTCACTATATTTTTGTTACCTTTTTTTCTTTAAAATGAAGTCTACAGACAGCTTGTATCTATAGTAATACATACATAATATGATGTGCAGTTTTAAAACACATGTAATATTTTCAGTTTTTTTAATGCCTTTATATCTTTGTATAGCGGAGATGGCAGCCATCAATCAGCCAATGGCGAAGACAAGACACACAAAGCTCTAGCAAGAGCTGTAACAGTACATTCCAATTCTAATAAAGTGATGTATTTTGCGTAACTTTTTCTTTATTACGTGCAGGTTGTTTTATATTTGTACATAAATTATGTTAATACTGTAGGTTGTCCATAACTTTTATATAACTTAAAAATTATGAACTTTTATGCTGCATTGGTTTTTAATGAATTGAATAGTCATCATTCATAAATGATCTTTGTGCACATATTTGAGCTCCTTAATTTCAATAAAAAATTTCTTTAAATTTAAGTATTTATTTATTAATATTTTAATTGTGAATCTTCCTTTAAAATGTTAAATATTAATCTTTTATTACATGATTTGTAAGCATGTATTTTTTAATAAAAAATTCATATATTTGATAGAGTAATAATATGTAACTGTGCCAACTGTATAAAAAGCCATCTGAGTGTCATTTAATTTTGAAGCCATCTGTTCATAACCTTATTCACATATGTGTAAGTTGATTGGTACAGTAATTTATTTTCTTAAAATCTGTTTTCTTGAAAATTATTTACAACTTATAAAAGGTAGCAAAATATGATAAACAACCAAGTAATAAATAGGGAATAAAAATAAATCGTGAAAAACAGAAGTGATCATGCCCTATAGAGGGTAATGCTTTTAAATGAAATTTTTTAATCAAAAGATATATTTTTTGACTAAAATATATTAATCATGTTCCTATTATATTGTATTTTTTGTATTATCATGTGAGGGAAAAGAAAACTTGATTGTGTCTTTTGTCATGAGTGATGATGTATTTTTCATATTTCTATTTATATACATCTGTGACATTTATGTTCTTGTATTTTGAATCTATGAAATGTATTTATATGCAGTTTATGCAACCCTTTATTAATAATGCTAATATTAAACAATTTTATAAATAATTTTACCTTTGATATTTACATGTTGTTAGTATTTTAATATGCAAATAATATTCTTATAAAGCTGCACTTGTAATATGTAAAGGAAACAACTGCACTGTATTATTTCATATTGGTTTGTCCAAAATGTTCTATAATTTCTGTATAAAATTCTCTTTGGCCATGTTTTACTGAATTTCTGTTACAGAGGAATTGCAAAATATTAAGTTGTTCTGCTTTGTTTCATTATTATTTTATTAACTTTTTTATTGTCCCTTAAAAGAAATAGCATTGAAGAAAGCAGTTATTATTAAAAAAGGGAAAAAAGTTATTGACTTTAGTGATGAATTGTAGATTTGATTGCATAAATGAATAAGACTTCTGACATTTTTTTTTTTTTTTTTTAATTTATTGAAAGTCTCACACCGTTCATAGAGATAAGTATACTATATATTGGCAAGGAAACAGAATTGAAGCTAAATAATGATAGATAAATGAAGATGTAATAGATATATAAGAAATAAAATTATCATAAAGATAAATCATGATCATATTCAAGCAAAATTAAATATAAATTTTAGCATTGGTTACACAAAATTTAATGTTTGTTGCTATTAAAATATGTCAAGAACACTTGTTTTTATGTGAGTGATTTCTAAGATGATGAGAACTAAGGTACTCTTCTGTGATCAGGACCAGATTCATTCAAGATTGTATGTATGTGTTCACACATATAAATGCATATGTACATATACACATTCATCCATACATACATACATGCATGCATGCATGCATACATACATACATACATTTCTGAATCCGGTCCAGATTACAGAAGAGTACCAGAACTAGTAAACATGTTGTAGTAGCAAACATTGCATTAATATGAAACTTAAATTTTGTTGCAAAAAGGGTCCTATTTTTTATTTATCTGCTTTTCTGTTATAATTACAGCCTCTCAGATTATTTTTATCTTTAACAGAAAAAGAAAAGAAGTTTTGTTTAAAAGCTAAATAGCCAGGAAATACAATAATTATTATTTATTGGTACCTTTTAATTTTGTGCCCAAGGAAATAATTTAGTCATTCTTATTTTTCAGAGTTTCTGAAATTTTTAATGTACTATTTATTGTTAATTTTAATAGTTTAAATAGGAAGGAAACAATTCATTGCTAGAGTTATGCATTATATTTTGCTGTTATGTAGTATTTTTCTGTATTTGTCCCTGTTTGTAAGTATTTGGTGTGTAAATATTTTTCTGATATTTAAATCCATCAGTTAGTTTAATAATTAGTTACTACTATGCATGCTAGATAATTATATTTTATATCCGTATATAAATGTTGAACAAATGTTTAAGTTCTTTAACCACTTAACAGATTCTTTTTTCCGTCATATTATGACAAAAAATAAGCATATTTTTGATAAACATTTTTATGAAGAAAGTCATTATATAAACCCAAATCAGCAGTCAGAACTATTACAAGTATTGAATTTATTGATTTATGCTAATTTTTATTTTCATCGTAAAAAGCACATATTTCCTTAAAGTTGGCTTTTTTCGAACAAGTAAGCGAACTGGAAAACACACTTTACAAAAATAGATGTCAGAATTTAAAATGTTTTATTGTTATTACATATCTGTTCGATTCCAAAGAAGAATTATTAATATCATGAAAGAAGGATTATTAATATCAAGTTCATAAAAGTTCCAAATTTGCGTTAGATTATCTATACTTTCCGTTTCTTCATCACTAGAGAAGTCAGACAACAAACTGCCATTACTTCCAGAATCATTTAGTGAAATTTCAGATTCACTATCTGAGTCAATATCAGAGTTATATCTTCAGTTATAAGCTTCTCATTATCATTCATTTCTTCTTTTATTTTAGCTCCAAATTTAAAACAAATAGTATTCGCAGTAGCCGGAACACCGGAGCTAGTGAAAAGAAATTTCGCGCCTTTATTTGCGTAAAGAATTTCAGTAAAACCTAACCTTGAAACAGATGTTTTGCAATTCTAACTTTACTGGACTACTAGCGCCATCTGTTAGAAACATTACACACTAAACAAGCAAAAAATTCGGGCAAATCTGTGTATTAGACTAGAAAAAAAGTTTTGCCCGAGCGCCGCTCGGGAAAATCAAAAAAGTGCCATTTACAAGTACCCGAACGGCGTTCGGGCAAAACTGGGAAGTGGTTAAGGCAGCTAAAAATTTTTGTATGTTAATATTTTGTGACGTGATTATTTTTCAATGATACTGAACTGTAGCATCCAGATGTGTATTGTATTTGATAGATATTTTTTTGAACAATAATATTTCACATATATATTTCATTTACTAATAAAAATTTACAATTTACTAAAAATATACTATCTCAGCAAAAGTGTTAAGAAAAACTAATTGTTTTTTTTTTTTTTTTTTTTAAATAAAGCTTTGTTTTTTTGTTCTTTTTGTCCATATATTATCTGTATTTTATTAATAACCTTTTGAGATTTTTTACTTTTATTTTAATTATATCGAAAACCATGAGCCTCACTATTCTGTATTTACTGATTTTATTTTTGAGCTTTAATTGCATGTAATGTTAATTGTTAGAAGCAAGTCATAGAAATATTACACCATTACCATTCACTTGCAACTACTAACTTAAGAATGATTTGTTTCAAATCAAGGAAATGACTTACTTAAGAATAAAATCAATTTCTGTACTGAAAATGAAACTAATTTAAAGTGAATTGAATTTTATGTCATAGAAGATACTGAAATTTGATTTTAAATCAATTTTTAAAGTTATTATTTTCAGTGTAGATATTCCCCTTTTTGTTAGATTACATGTAATCATCTTTAACAAAATTAACAATGTAAATAGTTGCAGGGTTTTTCTCTTCCCCCCCCTTATTTTATTATTTATTTATTTTTTTTAAGATTAGAAAAATATTTTACTATTAGTAATTTTGGGAGAGCATTCCCTGCCCCCCCCCCATGGGAAGACTTTGTTATATGAAAAAGCTAAGTCCTGTTTTTAGTATTTACAATAAATTATGTTTAGAACAGTGGGAAAAGATGCAAATTTTCTAATTAATAAATTTGGGGTTTCATAGAAATTATTTTAAACACAAATATAAAAGTGTTTTATAGTAAAAATTTTAATATAGTATTTTTTCAGACTACTATAAAAACAAAACAAAAATATGAGTACATTAATGGAAGTAACTGCTGCATTTGCTTAGTTGCATGAAATCTGTGAAATTCATAATAAGGCAAAACACTGACTATGTCTGTTTCATACTTTCTGTCATTCCTATATTGAGTATGTCTGTCTTGCATGAGTTTTAAAAGTCATAAATATTAAAAATCCGTGCAACAATGGTGCCTTAGTTTGGAAGCATGGTTAGTTCCAGAAAAGTTCTTGTAATCCAAAGTACATGTATGTGGTAGGGAAGTTGAAGATGCTAAATAACAATTCCAACGTTTTCCACACCACAGAACATTTAATAAAAATAACAGAAGGTGGTACACTGCTTAAAAAAAAAAAAAAAATGGGACAGTGCTATATCTCTCGTTCTCCTGGGCCGATTGAAAAAATTCAAACTGCGTTTTTCATGTCTCGAAAGCGCGACTTAGGATATATATTAGGTTTATATATAGCACTATTCTAACATAGGTATTTTCACACAAAATCGGACTTTTTGTGAAATAATATACTAATTTTGTTCCATATTTCGATTCTACAATTCAAATTATGCTAGAATGCCGAGTTTTGTAAAAATCGTACGAGTAGTTTTTAAAATATTAGCTCTCAAAATTTTAGCACCTCAATGTTAATTGAATTTGGCAAATATTTATTAATATCTCTTTTTGTATTAAACTTTTTTGATTTTTACTTTCACATTTTGAAATTTAGGTTCATTCCAAATAAAATTTGCCCATTTTTTTGTTGTTTTTTTTTAAATTTCTATTTTTAAATAATTTTTATAAATTTTTCGAAAAAAATTTTGAATTATAACCTATAAAATTTTTACCATCAGTAGTAAAAGTAGTAAGTAGTAGTAAAGTAGGTGTATTTCTAAGCATACCTGCAAAAAATTAGACTTTTTTATTAAAAATTTTCTAAGATATACATGAATTTACATATTTTCGTGTTTGGAAATTTGGCATCTTTTTTTTTTTTGAGCGATAATAACGCCAAATGTGGTTTATGTATTTTTGTTGCAGTAAATTGTCACAGCTATTTTTAACCTTAAATTTAAAATCAATTTTTACGGAGAATTAATTATATGGTTTTTTTACCTCAATCATGCGTAATAAAATATTTATTAATACTATATGAAAAAATATTTTTTTTTTAAAATTATAGATGATATTCAAATTTTTAACTTTTTTTTTTTTTTTTTTTTTTTTAATTTCTCTTTTTTTTTTTCCTTTTTAAAAAAAATATTTGTAAGAGTAAATTTTTTTCTTCGTTTTATCATCTGCTACTTTACTTTAACTTTGTTTAAATCGAATTGTCTAAAGCTGAGAACTTTTGTTTGATGTTTATTTGAATTTTATCAAAATATTTTATGACATTAACTGCATAATTTATTTCTAAACAAGCTGTTGCTTATGAAGTGGCTGAAAGAGCGGCTGATACTATCATACATATTTTTAAAGCACAGTATATTCTTATAGAAACATAAGATTTAGAATAATCATTTTTATATCATTAAGTCAATTTATGATATAAACGTACAACCCTCTATAGACCGAATTAATGGAAGTTCAATGGTTATGTAGAAATCATCTGCAGCTACTTAATGGCTGGATAAGTCAGCAGGTTCTGTGGAGAAGTAAGAATAATTATATAAACGACACGCAACATTCTGGACCAATTAACAACGAGGGTACGATGTTTATTAAATGAATTAAGAAGTTTTTAAACATAAAAAATCAACTCATTTTTTATCCTTAAATGTATTTTTATGCGTATCTATTTTCATTATATCCTTAAGCCCACCAGCGGCCAAGTGGTAAAGAGGTTGAACACTGGTAGTTCGGTCTGAGGTTCAAATCCTGCGAACGGGCTGGCAGCATGGATGTTTTCGTGGTTTTTCTCATGTGTAATGTGTATACGAGCCAGTTTCCCTTAGAAAGTCCTCCACGAAAGCATTCCTCCCTTTAGGCAGATAGCCCTCGTGTGCTTTGCCATAATTGAATAATCCAATCCAATCCATTATATCCTTAAAATTCTAATTTAGAATGTAATTGTCAAGAACTGAATTCTAATTATCAGTAATATAATAAGTAATTATTACGGTTATTAATAATCCTTCTTCTTATAAAGTAATTGCAAATATTTCAAAAATTTTTTAGTCTGAATGCAAATATTTCTAATTTTATATTAATCAAGATTGCATACAATATTATTTATTTGCACTTAAATTCTTACCGCTCTAGTAGAAGTTACAAATCAATTATATTTAATTAAGGAATGACCATCTAAGTTTAGAAGCAGCGTACCGTAACAGCAATTCAATTATTGGCGCTGTATCTTTCATGTTACTCCCGATTGGCAAGCTACGTGATTTTTAATGAGTATTCGGGTTTTGCTAGTAACTTCACTTGGAAATCACGCTTAAACTAGATTAGTTGGTTGTTTGAACATAGAGTGGAACACCCAAAATAGAATCCCTTCTGAAACCGATAAATTCAAACCTAAATGGATAAAAATGCCTTTATAATATACTTCAAACTTCTCTTTTTAAATAGTTGATGGCAGCATATCACAAGGAGACCCAGAATTTTCATTTATGATGTGTTATTAAAATCCATTTATTTTCTATGTTTTTTGTGACGTAAAAAAATTTGTTTGAATAAAAAATGTCATATAATATTGATGGTTGAACTCTATATTATTTGTTATATATTTCTTTACATTTTTCATACAAAAAGCATGCGCAGAATCATTGAATAAAACGGGGTGTTCCATTAGTGGAAACACTGCGCCTTTAGCGATCTCATGCTATTACGCATCAAAACATTTGTTGTATATGTTTTCTATTTACGTTGTTTTGGGGAAATGAATTCAAACAAAGCAGTCTTGAGAGGAGGTGCGGTTTGTGCTATGAAAGTCCTAATATGGGCATCTTGAAATTTTTGTGAGTAGTTTTCAAGGGGGAATTTTATCAATAGGTTGAGTTATCTTTACTTAGGGAACCTGTGCGAATTATTTTGCTATCACTTTTTAGTCTCATTCCTGTTTATTTACAATAACTGTGTAGATATTTTTTGTGTATGTATATCTTATAGCTTATTTTTCTTTATTGTTAATATTAATTGCAGTTAATTTTTTAATATTAATTTTCCATAAATGGCAGGAAAACTCTTTCCTCTTCGGAAAGAGTTTTTCTTTCTCTTTTTTCTTTCTTTTTACCTGGAATCGAAACATATTGTTGCACGGAACAGAAGCCGCACAAAACAAGTTTTTTGTTCAAAACCTGCAAAGTTGGTTTATGCTTCTATCAAAAAGATGTGACATGATTTGAAAATTTCATGAAGCTATGAAATCAAAAAATTTGTTAATATTTTTGTATATAGGACTTGTGTATATACATACATTTATCTCATTTATCCATGTATATTCAAGAAAGTTATGTATATCCAGAAAACCATGTATACAGCTATAATACAGTGTTTTTTAATTATTATACAAAAGCTTCTACTCATTTTCATGCTTCACTGCAATGCTCGCTTAGTCGCACTTTTAAGAGCTCTGGTGGCGCAGTGTACCATTTCATGGAACACCCATAGAATTGAAACGGTAAGTGCAGTTTTTACAAAATTTTATCTGTATACTCCTTTAGGCCTAGATAGACTGCATACAACTTTTCTTGTTGAAATACCGACTTTAAAGTGTAGTGCACCACAAAGGGTTAAGATGCTTTCATAGAGAACCTTTGTAAAGAAAACCTAGAAAACTACGAAAA